TTCTTCTTTGCATTTTGCCTTCCCGGAAATGCTCCAAGATGCTCTCATGTCAATGCTACTCCCGAGAAGTCCCCCACCCGAAGAGCAACTGCCAAGCAGATTGAATGGTGATTGTTTCATTCATACAATGCAAAACCTGCGTAACATCAGTGTCACTCCTATAGTTGGAGCCGACTTCCTTCAACTTCCCGGGGCCAATCGTCAATGACATCATCCGAGCCCACCAAAGTGAGACTCACCCCTGTCTCTTATACACATCTAGATGTGTATAAGAGACAGCACACACACACACACACACACACACACAAACTGTGCTCTCCTTTGCTGCTCGACGGGGACTTGGGTGCCGTGTGCTTGGATTCGTGCTCATCATTGATCCGTGGATCCGTGCCTCGATTCGTGCTCTGTCCATTGGTGCTCATCGTGTTCTCTCCATTGGTGCTGATCGTGTTCTCTCCATCGTGCTCATCGAGGATCTGTGCTTTTCTTTGGAGCACGACCACGTGCTCATCGTGGATCTGTGCTTTTGGTCACGTGCTGACCGTGGATCCGTGCTTTTCGTGCTCATCATCGTGGATTTGTGCGGAGACTTTGGTGCATGATAACGTGCTCATCTTCGATCCGTGCTTTTGGTGGTCGGTGCTCATCGTGGATACGTGCTTTTCATGCTCATCGTAGATCCGTGTTTTTCGTGCCATCGTGGATACGTGCTTTTCATGCTCATCGGCGATCCGTGTTTTTCATGCTCATCGGCGATCCGTGCTTTTCATGCTCATCATTGATCCGTGCTTTTCGTGCTCATCGTTGATACGTGCTTTTCGTACTCATCATTGATCCGTGCTTTTCGCTGTCTCTTATACACATCTAGATGTGTATAAGAGACAGGTCTAAAGAAACTGCACCCCTCTCTGACACAACTGACTGGCGCTTCGGCAAAAAAAAAAAAACATTCTCTAATTATCTCTACTTTTTTCTTATTACTATTTTTATTTTATTTTTAAATTAAATTGGACCGTTTCTTGATTTATG